TGAGCTACAACTAATGGTAACAGGTAAACATATGAGACGCTTAGATTTATCATAATATGCCATGGGAAACAAAGCAGGTAGACTATTAGCTAGGAAATTAAACAAATAAAGCTACAATCTAAAATCCCCTATATAATTTCCCAAAATGGAGAAAAACTATATAACCCTCAAGCAATATTGAACTAATTGGCACTATATTATGCCGCACTTTACCAATTAGAGAATTATATTAACACACACCAGCCGTCAGAGGAAGTGATAAATACTTTTTTAAAGAGAGCACCCCTACCTAGCTTATCATTTACACAATGCATTTTTCTTGAAAGTCCGTTTGGGGAAGAAGAGATAACGGGTTCTCAAATTATTATTATAATTTAGAAATTGAGCAAACAACTGACCCCAATACTTACTAAACTGTTTAATCATATAAAAATAACGGGGATCATACCTTAAAAAATGCTGGAAGCAAATATAGTGGCACTACCTAAGCCAAATAAACCCCCTACACAGTGTGCAAGTTTGCGACCTATATCTTTATTAAATACAGATATTAAGATTTATGCCAAGCTATTGGCTTCCCGACTTAAACATTTTCTCCCAGACCTCATTTCAGAAGAGTAAGAAGGGTTTGTAACTGGACGACAGGTGGGAGATAATACGAGACATTTTGTGAATCTGGTGGAATGGGCAAATAACACATTACAAGCTGGCCTCATATTAGCACTAGACGCCGAAAAGGCTTTTGATCATCTTCATTGGAGGTATATGTCATTAACGCTTAGCAAAATGGGTTTCCCATTAGCCGTTCGATCTAGTATAATGGCGCTATATCAAGATCCGTCTGCAAAAGTTTTTAGCACTGGCTTTATTTCTAACAAATTTGCTATATGTAATGGTACTCGCCAGGGTTGCCCCCTTTCTCCCCTTATTTTTATTATATGCATGGAACCTTTGGTAAGAATTATTAAACAAGATATAGCTATGAAAGGATTGAATAAATAAAAATTTTGCTTTTTATTAAAGATCCTGAACTCTCTCTACCTTCCCTCCTCAAAGTGTTAACAGAATATGGGCAGGTTTAGTACTATAAAAATAATATCACTAAAACACAGGCACTCCCTATCAACCTGCAAAGTACCTTAATAGATAAATGAAAATCACAAGATAAATTTGACTGGTGTACATCTTCTTTACAATACTTGGGCATAAAACTTACCAAGTCCATTCAAAAGTTAAAAAAGGAGAATCACTATCTGTTGCTCCAAAAATTTTAACTAACAATTCAGAAATGGGAAAGCCTAGAGATTTCATGGTTAGGTCAAATAAACCTCATTAAGATGATGACATTACCACATATATTATATCTCTTTAGAACCCTGCCTATAGCACTCCCTAACAAATTAATAAAACAATTTCAAAGAATGATAAATGCACATATTTGGAAGAGGAAGCCTCCTAGAGTAGCATGGGGAAGTTCAGGGTTACCTTATGTAAAAGGCGGACTAGGGCTACCAGATATAAAAATCTATTATAGAGCATCCTTCTTAGCACAGGCAATCAGGCTACTCAGACTTAGGACAACTGCTCAATAGCCACTTTGGTTACCCTTAGAAAATATAAGTCTAGACACAAATAATATAATACACTATTTATGGATGTGTTCGGTACCAAAGACTCCAACTAAATTCACTTTACACAGCATAAAGACCCTGCTAAAGATCTGGAAGGAGTGGTGTTCATATGTGATAAACCCGATCCAACTGCTTAGGAATGCACCAATTACAGCGTTAGCGGCCCTTTCCCCTGGCCTTCAAGTGAGGAGATGGCAGGATAAGGGGCGCAAGACAAGTGGATGACTTAATGAACAGGACACATTTAAAGCTTTTCCCAGACCTCCAAATTGAGCTACAACTGGAACCTAGACATATGTACTTATTTTTAAGGATTAAGAATATTGTGCAAGCACACGCCTCTGATAACCCACCACTTAATGTAAATAACTTACGATTAGAGGTATCTTGTCACACATAAATATTAAACCACTATCCCTGTGTTATGTGGCATTGATGGAAAATATAGCTCCTGGAAAACTAACATACACAAGACAATGGGAGAGGGAAATAGGGAAAGAGATTCCCAGATCAGATTGGCACTTAGCTATGACTAGTACTAAGCAGGCTTCCCGTAACCTTTCGCTATGGGAGGCCTACTGGAAGATAACAATACGGTGGTACTTGGTGCCTCAAAAGTTAGCACGAATGTACGCGGACACAATAGGATTATGTTGGAGGTGTAATACAGCAGCAGGAACTTTCTTCCTATCCTTAGTTTGATAAATGCATAAAGCAATATGGTTTTGGTAAATTATGTAAATTGCATGTGAATACAACGGCTATAGGAGCACTGGATAACATGTTATAATGTGATGTGCTGCTCTTTCTTTGGATGTTTGGTACTAATAAAAAAATTTAAAAATGAAAAGATTTTTTTGTTCCTTTAAGTTTAGCAAATATGGCTGTTTTACTTTTATCCTGAATTTTTTTTAAGGATTGATAGAGCTTTCTTATGATACCCTATCTCACAACATTAAGGATGATTACCACTCTATAAAAAATAACAAAAAATAATTTTTTGTAAAATGTATATCAATTTTCACTATAATAGTTGTACACAGTGTTGCTTACAATATCTTAGAATTTCATTCAATATTTGTCTCACATTCATTAGTCACAAATGTCAAAATGCTTGTTATGTCTAGAGTATTACTAAAGAAATAAGAATATATAATTTCTCATTTTACCTTATTTGCTTACACCTTGGCTTTGTTCTCTTTGGTGATCAGCCTTTCTAATTGCTCTCTTGAAAGTATTGTTAGCAATTTAATATTTTTATATGATGCCACTCACCAATCTGTCATATACTTTAAATGCCTTTTTCCTATTTCGAAGATATGCAGAATAAATAATAAATAATTTTTCCTATTTCTGACTTCTTGTTTGATCTTTTAGTGAAAATTCATCGATTGTTATGTCTGTTTTGTATTTGTTTCCCAATGGCAACTGTACATGTTCTTTTCTTTGTTTTAAGGGACACTCCACGCATCTTGAGCACTTCACTTTGCTTATTGGTGGCTCAAAAGTAATAGCATTAGTGTCAAATTGAGGGTCATCTCCAGCATTTTCACAAGATAGTACACCTATCTTGTCTTCGGTCTGTATTATATCCACATTGAGGATTTTGATTCTGTCATTTCTTTTTCTTTATTGTCATAAAATGTAAGTTTTATGTTCCCAACAAAGGGCCAGCAGCATAGTCTGGACGAAGATTACACCTGTTGCATCTGAATTCCTATTTTCGATTACATATGATCATGGCAAATCTCCTTCACCGACATTTCAAGCACATTCCCATGTATCATCTGTAACCCTGTGTCACACAGCTTGCCCAACCCTAAATGAACTTAGGTATTTGGTAGATTTTCGAAAATACAGATTTTCATTTTTCATGTTTATGTCCCTTTGACCCAATCCTGTGGGATAGTGTGTGGCTGTAGTTTATATTGTACAATGGGCACTGTGGTTCTTAATGTTCTGGCAATGAGCATCTGTGCAGGTGAACACGGGTGTTGCATGATAGCTCAGCAGGCAAGATACACATCCTGTCCTGCTGATTTTGCCTAAATTTCCATTAATGTAGGAAGCACTGGAATTCAACACTGTAATTTGAGTATTGTGAGCCATTGTCAGATACAAGTTCTACACAGACTGCGATTCTTTTGACAACCCATAAGACTGTTCATATTTTAATTTCCTTTGTTGCACTAACTCAAAGTATTTGCTGTAGTAGTCTGCTACCATCAGGTAATGGTTCTCCCCAAAATGGAAAATATCCGTGACCAGTCTCTACCATACCCATGTAAAAGTGCTCCATGGTGTAAGAGGTTCTTTTGCATTCTTTTAATTTTATACATCTGTCAAGTTTCACATTCCTTCATGAGTGTTTCAATATCAAGGTCCAAATTAGGCCAGGAAACCACATGCTGTGCTCCACATACACAGAGTAATGCCCAAATGTCCTTGGTAAATTTGTTTGAGCACTTCTGTTTGCTGCTACTTAGGGACAAGTATATGGTCACACATAAATATAACATCTGGATCAAGGAATAGCACATTCCTCACAGGTCAGAATGTCTGCAGCTCAGGAGATAGTTTCTTGTGTTTTTCTGGCAAGGCCATTACACAAGACAAATTCATTTTTCTAGAATTTTATCACTTGTTTTTTTCCATACATACATCAGCTATAATATATAATTATATTATAATATTCACTAGTACTGTCTGCACCTGCTCTTCTAGTTCAGTTTCATCCCATGCATTGTGTGCTCCTGGAAACACCATGGGCAGTGTATTTGCAATCGGAATTTCTCTTCCTGTTTTGTATTTCACAGATCATAATGTTGCAGTTTCAAATCCATCCTCTACAGGCGTACTACAATGGACGTGGTCTGTTTCCACTACTACTGTGCAACCATAAATATACTGGTGACATTTTCCACATCCATTCACAATGGCTAACATTTCTTTCTCAATTTGAGTATAACTGATTTGTATTGTGGTTACAGCGTGTGGAGCATACACCACAGGATGTCCATGTTAAATTAGTACAGGACATTGCCCAAACTGGGATACATCCACTTGGAACACAGTATCACAGTTACTTATTATATATTTTAGTATTGGCCCAAGATGTTTAGTGATCAGTCTTTTTATGTTTTCAATTTTATTTTCTATCTTCACATCCCAAGACCAAATAGTATTCTTCTGTAGAAATATACACAATGGTGCTGTCTGCTGAGAGAGGCCTTGAGAAAATTTGGATAGATAATTTAAAATACCTAATGATGTATCCAGCTCCTTTCTGGATGTTGGAGTCTTCATGTCAACAATAGTGATGTTGCTAACCGTTCGCGAACTTGCCATGAACGGTTTGTGGCGAACTCCGGTCAGCTGACACATTCCTGCCAATCTCCGGCAGACCCTCCCTCCCAGACCCTCCCACCTCCTGGACAGCATCCATGTTGAAGCTGCCTTCAACATGGATGCTGTCCAGGAAGTAGGAGGGTCTGGGAGGGAGGGTCTGCCGGAGATTGGCAGGGTCACTCCAGTGTCAGCTGACTGGAGTTTGCCACGAACGGTTCGTGGCGAACCGTGGCGAACCGTTCGCGGCAAGTTCGCAAATGGTTCGCGACATCACTAGTCAACAACTGTAGTTATTTTCTTTGGACCAGGTTTCAAAACCTCTCTGGTAACCAAGCATCCAGATTGGGTAATTTCTTCTACCCAATATTCATTTAGTTTGGATTGAGTTAACGATTTTTCTCACAACACCGAATGAGTAAGGCAGCTAGGTTTCTGTCATGCTCAGTGTGATCTTTTCCATAGACAAGAAAGCATCAGTTGTTACTTCAATATGATGCAAGCCACTGATCAATTCGTGTGAAAAGCACAATTTTTGGTAAGCAAATGCAGGGTGTCACTCTTTCATCCACAGATCCCTCCCTGTCTGGATCCTGTACCCTAATACATAGAACTTAAGAAAACAGACAGATAGAGAAATAAAGAATGTATTACCAGACCTTAGAGTGGCCGAGCTTAACGTATACACAAGAGAGGAAATCATGAACAATAGGCTAGTCAAGATCAGAGATACAGAAAACAGGTCTAACCAAGATCAGGGTTACAGAGGTACGGATAGAATGTTCTTTGAGCTTCTGATTGTTGTCAAATCTCTTTCCACCCAGGACAAAATTTACATGTCAGGTGCCTGTAGGCATGAAATTTTATGGCATTCCCTGCTCCCCAATCCCCAAAATGAATCAACATAGAGAATAGGAGTAGAGGCACAGGTAACTGCAATACTGAAAGGACTGAAACTATGAACAGTTTCTCCTGAGCTGCAGCTCCTTCCACTGTTGGTCCAGCAGTGTAAACCAAATAAAGATAGACAAAATTAGGTCTGCGCTTCCAGTTGTAGTGTGCACCAATGTGCTACCAAGTATTTATTTGAAGGACATAAAAGACAGGCAAGCGTTTCTGGCACAAGCCATTTCTCAATGTAAATTACATTTTAAATTCATTAAAATAGGACACAAAAGATTATTCCAGGCCAAATGCCTCAACATTCTGAAAAATCTCAAGGACTCTATTTGGGGTTTTTCCATCACTGATGTCTTTATTCATCTATCATCTATTACTCCACCTATCATTCATATCAAGGTCACAATTTATTACCTGAGACAGCTGTCATTGAGCCTAAAAGGTCAAACTCAATGCCTTAAGGTGATCAAATGATTTCCCATCTGCTACATAATTTTTAATTAAAAATCCATAAACATTGCTACAGTTAAATGGGTTATAACTAGTAAGACCCATATCTCCTTTGAATATTGTTCGATCAGTTTATTATCAGGGATTGTGTCTAGTCTGTTTGTTTATGAAGTCTATGCCTAACCTCCACTATGATTAGTCATTTTACAGTCAGTCCCATTAGGCCATGCCTCAAAGTCTTGTGCAATAACCATGAATCTCTACTTTTCCATTATAAATGCTAGATATTTGACTCACATGGTAGTCCCATAATATACCTGGTGATATTTCCCCTGTAATTATGGAACCTAAAATATTCTTGTAGGAAGAGCAGTTAAAGCTTAAAAACTGCTTCCATACCTGCATAATTCATCAAGGATAAAACCTGAATAAGGCAACTGGGAATCTGAAAGGTAATGTGGCATACGATTCTGAGGCTGTAATCCTGCCTAGAATATACTGAACAGAGAACAGATTACAAGGAAAAAATCTTGTCTTTTCCAATATATTATTCCCATGTATTATTTTTAAAGTGCAAATTTTTTATTGAAATCTTCACTTTTTATAAAATGTACAAACGAGGATACACTCTTCACACATAAAGCACTTCAGCAAGCTAAAGTGCTTTAGGGGTCTGGAGGGTCTTTTTAATTTGTAATTTCATGGTTCTGACACTGAGTATCTGTCTTAAAGTTTTAAAGTCATCTTAAATTTCAGATTCAAAGCAGCTCTTTGCTAGGCATCAGAAGAACTGCATTTACATTATATACTGACTTGAGTCGTTCCCAACGATAACATCCTGTATTCAACCGTAAACCCTAATGTGTTCCTTGAACCACATTGTGACACCACATCTATGAATATATACAGAATATTATATAAATCTATATTTATTAACTCCATACCTAATGCATTAACCCCAAAATTGCAACATTTAACCTGCCTCCAAGGAATTAAAACCTTGTATTCACAGCAATACCTCCATTCTGTGCTGTATATTTAGCTTTAAACCTGGTGCATTAAAGTGTCACTATCCTAAATTATATAATTGGAGTTGCTAGTTTTCCCTCAATCTTACAGGGGACTCAGAGCTGACAATGGAAGGGTGCCAAATCCAGAGCTAAAGCTTTTCAGAGCTCCACTTGGCCATCCAGCTCACGTCAGCCCCTGTAGCAGTCCCCTCTTTATTGTTCTATTTTTTGTAATCCTGATCTTGGTCTGTACAAGTATATGCTACATCAGATCCCAATTCCAAAGGTAGTGTTGCACTCAAGGAATACAATAGTGTCTGCTACCATGCCTGGATCACTATGGAAAGTAACCACAGTCCCTTAGAAGTATTCAAAATCAAATTCCAAAGACTTAACAGAGTAGTGCTAATAGGAGTTTCATTTAGGATCAGGAGAACAAGATTACATACGTTTCGGCATCAAGCCTTAATCATGAATACAAGATGCAGAAGCGTTATATATCATTATGTTCTCCTGATCCTAAATAAAAGTCCCTCCTATTTGCTACATTTGCTACATCATCTGTTACCTATTGCCAGGTATCAGTTACCATCTTCTTGTAGTGTTTATGATTATTTGTTATACCTGGGAACTTCAAGATTCTGCATTATTTCTGTCTATCCCTTTTCTCTTTCATTTTAGTTCCCTGCCTACTGAATTTACATATTTCTTGCACTACTATTTGGTAAGCTACCTACAGCATCTGATTGCAGTGCATAATTAATGCTCAGAACTCCCCAGGGACTAAATATACTATGATAATAGTACACTACAATGCCCACTCTCTCAGCACCAGTCTGGTTCCACTGTAGCCTTTTGTGTAAATGATCCCCTGTAGCATTTTGTGGATATGATACACTAGGGGCTCTGGTACTAACCTCTGCTGACTTAGATGACATTTTTATTAAATGACAGAAAGGACATTCCTCATTTGATAAACCAGTCAGACGCCAACTCCAGCACTCCCATTCTACTTTCAAGGCTAGTAAATAGATTACTGGGTATGACAAATTGCATACTGCTTTTCAGCTGAAAAACAAACATATCAGTAAATGCTATAACAAGATTAGCACGCTACAACACTATCTGTATTCCAAATCTTATGTTTGCTTGCAAAAAAAAGTAATAACATTGGCTCGATTGCTTAGATAAATATCTAGCTTGGGATATACTCAATGAAAATGCTCTGAAATGCAGAATGTAGGTTTGTTTTTTTATACTCTAGTATATTGGAAGCATTTTCAGTCTCATCTAAACAACTCTTTATTTACTGATTCTTTGGGATTCATTTATTTTGAATTAGCCACAGAAAGATATATGTGGTTGAACTAGATTACTGTGTTATATTACTATTCCAACAGGTTACCTACTGTTAAACCTGGGTGTACACTTATTTGCTTTTATAAATCATTCCAAATCAATGTACCTGAATGCTTTATATTTCCTGATTACTATGCTCTATATTTCATGTGCTCTATATTAACTGGTTACTATACTGTACTGAAGCAAAAACAGAGATTATAAGAACTCTGAGAAAGGGAAAAAGCTCTGAAAAACCTTCCTTTCGGGTAATCCTGCTAAAGTCTTAAAATCACCTTTGCTCGCTTGTGCCATTACAAAATTAACCTATACCATTTACAAATCTCACAGATTGCAAACAGGGGCCCAGGACCTGACGGCACACTGGGCATGCCAGTGGGTCTCCTCTTGGTCTCAGGCCCTTGGTTCATGACCTAGTGTCCGACAGGTCTGTCTCTACCCGGATGTAGTTTATGTTTATCAAAAAGCAGAAGAGCTAGAGAGATAAATTATTTATTTATAAAATATTTTACCAGGATGGATACATTGAGATTTCTCTCGTTTTCAAGTATGTCCTGGGTCCATAAATCCACACAAACATATTTCATTAGATCGACAAACTCTTAATATGATTCCGGTTTTTGTTTTTCACATGATTTAATAAGATTTATCTACAAATCACAGATATTTACTTCATTCCCCAGTGATTATTTTTTTTAAATATAAAAAAAAAGTTAGAGGTTTGTAGATATGGAAAAATACGACTAGATGTCATGCTGCCCCAGTATGCACCAGTGGTGGCTTTTAAACTAAAGGGGGGACCTATTGCCCCCCCCCGCCCCCACCCCTGAGCAGCGGGTGGGGGCACTAATGTAAAATAATGGGGGGGGGACCTATTGTCCTCCCCCCAGCCCCCACCCCTGAGCGGCGGGTGGGGGCCCTAAGTCAGAATAAGGGGGGGGGGACCGAATGTCCTCCCCCTTGGCCCCCACCCCTGAGCGGTGGGTGGGGGCCCTAAATTATAATAAGGGGGGGGCCTAATGTGCTCCACCCTGGACCCCACCCCTGAGCGGTGGCTGGGAGCCCTAAATACTAATAAGGGGGGACCTAATGCCCTCCCCCTGGTCGCCACTCCTGAGCGGTGGGTGGGGCCCCTACAGTAAAATAAGGGGGGGACCTAATGTCCTCCCCCCTGGCCCCAACCCCTGAGTGGTGGGTGGGGGCCAGGGGGAGGACATTAGGTCCCCCCCTATTAGTATTTAGGACCCCCACCCACCGCTCAGGGGTGGGGGCCAGGGGGGAGAACATTAGGTCCCCCCTTATTCCAATTTAGGGCCCCCACCTGCCGCTCAGGAGTGGGGGCCGGGGGGAGGACATTAGGTCCCCCTTATTCCAATTTAGGGCCCCCACCCGCCGCTCAGGGGTGGGGGCCAGGGGGGAGAACATTAGGTCCCCTCCCTTATTATATTTAGGGCCCCCACCCGCCGCTCAG